TTTTTTTTTTTTTTTTTTTTTTTTTTTTTTTTTTTTTGAAACACTTTTCTTCTTTGAAATGGAGTCTCGCTCTGCTGCCTAGGCTGGAGTGCAGTGGTGCAATCTTGGCTCACTGCCACCTCTGCCTCCTGGGTTCACGCCATTCTTCTGCCTCAGCCTCCTGGGTAGCTGGGATTACAGGCATGTGCCACCACACCTGGCTAATTTTTTCATATTTTTATTAGAAACAGGGTTTCACCATGTTGGTCAGGCTGGTCTCAAACTCGTGACCTCGTGATCCACCCGCCTCAGCCTCCCAAAGTGCTGGGATTACAGGTGTGAGCCACCACGCCCAGCCTTGAAATACTTTTCATGTAGACTTTCAAAAAAATACATGTAAGAGAATTCCTTACATGTATTTTTTTGAAAATAGGTAAGGGGGTTTGAATATGTTTGTAGTTTCAGCAGACTGTGAGGAATAGAGACTTTTTTTGTACATTTTGGACTTTTTTTGTCTTATAAACTCTGTTTGGTTAAATTGATGTGGTGGAGATTTTGAGATCCTAGGGTGACAATGCTTTCCTTCATTGCGGATTTCTTCGCTTTTTCAGGGTTTCTTGACCATGTGGACAATGTAAATTTGAATTCTAAATCCAAGTAAGAATAAGGAAGTGGTATCAAATTCTCTGAGTTCTGATCTCCCAGCCTTGGCCTACAAGTTTCTTGGTGAGCCCTCTGTTGACAGGTGTTTTTGTTTCCCCCTAGACATCCTTTTCATTACTGGTATAAGCCACTGTGAGGATCCCAGCTTACAGCAGGAATGTCAGATCTAGTTTTCTTTTCTTTTTTTTTAAGACGGAGTTTTGCTCTTGTTACCCAGGCTGGAGTGCAGTGGCATGATGTCAGCTCACTATAGCCTCTGCCTCCCTGTTCAAGCGATTATCCTCCTTCAGCCTCCTGAGTAGCTGGAATTACAGGCACCCGCCAGCATGCCCGGCTAATTTTTGTATTTTCAGTGGAGATGGTGTTTCACCATGTTGGCCAGGCTGGTCTCGAACTCCTGACCTCAGGTGATCCCACTTCCTTAGCCTCCCAAAGTGTTGGGATTATAGGTGTGAGCCACCATGCCTGGCCTAGATCTAGTTTTCTTAACTTTGCCCTGGCCTAAAGCTTAGTCTTCTGTTCTCCAACTAGTATGGTATTTGTTGCCAGGACAACTCTAGTATTTCCACATTGTTTTATGCCCAGTTTTTAGCTCACTGTTGTGTCTGTGTTGGGGGAGTACACTTTGAGTTTTTCTTACTTTGTTGATAGTTTGCAAAATATCAAAAATGTAATTTTCTCAGGATTTGGTTGCCCTTTTTTGGTAGCATGCACACTAGCTGAAAAGTGCCCTACTAGCACCCATGTACTTGTAGCATAGAAAAGACATTCATTTGTACATAGCTAGTATGAGCTAGGCACTTTAGTTAAGGATGAAATAAGATATTCTCAAATAACTGCTTCATTAGTGTCATTGGAGGGATTATATAGAGTTGGAAGAGACTATATGGAGAGATTTTATTGAAGTTTTCATTTTCTTTTCTGTTGGAGACTGAAATAGAAATATGTGGATCATGTGTCTTCTAGATATGATGGACTTGGAGGGAATACTGTTTTACTTCCACTAGAATGACTAAAGTAAATGCCTAAAACAAACCCAAAACTAACAATGCTAGTGTTGATAAAGTATGAAAAAACCAGAGACTCTCAGACATTGTTGGCAGGAGGACAAATTGATGGAAGCATTTGGGAAAACTTTCTAGTAGAGCTGAATATAAGCATATTCTATGACTTAATTTAGGAGTTGTATTAACTCCTGGGTATATATATAACAGAAACATATGCAAATGTGCACAAGAAGACATGTATGAAACTTTTTATGAATGCATTGCTCATGATGTCCCAGACTGAAAAAAATCACAAATGTCTGTCAAGAGTAGAATGGATAGGCGGGGTATGCTGGCTCATGCCTATAATCCTAGGACTTTGGGAGGCCGAGGTGGGTGGATTGCCTGAACTCAGGAGTTCGAGATCAGCTTGGGCAATACAGTGAAACCCCATCTCTACTAAAATACAAAAAATAGCTGGGTGTGGCGTCTTGCACCTGTGGTCCTAGCTACTTGGGAGGCTTAGGCAGGAAAATCGCTTGAACCTGGGAGGCGGAGGTTGCAGTGAGCCGAGATCGCACCACTGCACTCCAGCCTGGGCGAAAGACTGAGACTCCCTATCAAAAAAAAATAAAAAAAGGGCCGGGCACGGTGGCTCAAGCCTGTAATCCCAGCACTTTGGGAGGCCTAGGTGGTTGGATCACGAGCTCAAGAGATCGAGACCATCCTGGTCAACACGGTGAAACCCCATCTCTACTAAAACTATAAAAAATTAGCTGGGCATGGTGGCGCGTGCCTGTAATCCCAGCGACTCAGGAGGCTGGGGCAGGAGAATTGCCTGAACCCGGGAGGCGGAGGTTGCTGTGAGCCGAGATCGCGCCATTGCACTCCAGGCTGGGTAACGAGCGAAACTCCGTCCCAAAAAAAAAAAAAAAAAAAAAATAGAATGGATAGATAAATTGTGGTATAGTTAATACGGTTGAATACTTTCCAGTAATGAAAATAAGCTGCTATTGCATACTGTTGCATGAATGACCCTCAGAGACATTGTTGAACTGAAGACACTTGACACAAAAATAAAGGAACAGGCAAAATGATTTGTGATGTCAAATACTGGTTACTTTTTAGGGTGAATAATGACTAGAGGGGGCATGAGGGGATGCTTCTGGGTATTGGGAGTGTTCTGTATGTGGATATGTGTATTTTATATAAATGTGTCAAGATGCACACTTAACGATGTGCATTTCTCTGTGGTAATATTTCAATTACATTTTTCTTAAAATAGTTTTTTGTTGTTTGTTCTTTTTGAGACAGAGTCTCACTCTGTCGCCCAGGCTGGAGTGCAAGGACGATCTCGGCCTTCTCCTCTAAGGTTCAATTAATTCTGTTTTTTTTTTTTTTTAAAGACGGGGTTTCACCATGTTGGTCAGGCTGGTCTTGAACTCCCGACCTCAGGTGATCCACCCGCCTTGGCCTCCAAAGTACTTGGATTACAGGCGTGAGCCACCACGCCCGGCCCAGGTGCAAGCAATTCTTGTGCCTCAGCCTCCTGAGTAGCTGGGACTATAGGCATGCGCTACTATGTGCAGCTAATGTTTGTATTTTTAGTGGAAATGGGGTTTTGCCATGTTGCCCAGGCTGGTCTCAATCTCCTGGTTTCAAGTGAACCACCTGCCAAGGCCTCCTAAAGTAATCCTTCCCAAAGTACTGGGATTACAGGTGTGAGCCATAGTGCCTGGCTCCCCCCACAAAAAGCTTAAGGAGTCTGACTGATTTGATTTAAAGAACAGAGAACTCAGCACCTAGTTTGTTTTTTAGTGGGCTCATATTCCTTTGAAAATTTGTGGGCATAGATTGAGTTTTTGTGGGAGGGAAGTGAGTAGGAATTTAAATATTGAAGGTAAGAGTAGACTTGCATGGAAAGTTGATCTGTAGTATGTGTCTTATAGACTTGTTTTTATGCTTTTTTTTTTTTTTGGTCACAGTTATAGAATTTTTAATATCTTTTATAAAATGAAAGACTGCAGTAATCTTGGAAAAAACTGACAAATTCAAAATATCTTGTTCTCTCATTCTCTCAAGGAAGATTGGTATATACCCTATCACTTGGTGTTGAAGCTAGATTAGGTAAACAGCAGAAGGTGTCCTGTTGGGTCCAGTCCTAGATTGCAAGGGAATGGACAGGATCAACTGTTAGGCTTTCTTTTTTCTTTCTTTGTAAGCCTGAATTTCTGTGACAGGAAAAGTACTATAGCCTCCTGTGTGCAAAGGGCTTTGTTTTGTTAGCAAAACATTGACCTTCTTTAAAGTTGCCTTTAATTTTTGGTCTAAGTAGGAAGCATTATTTAGTTCAGAGTATTGTTCAGTAAAAGCAACATTGAATTCATGAATTATCTAATAATACTTTTTTTTTTTTTTTTTTTTTTTTGAGACGGAGTTTCACTCATGTTACCCAGGCTAGAGTGCAATGGCGCAATTTCGGCTCACCGCAACCTCCGCCTCCCGGGTCAGGCAATTCTCCTGCCTCAGCCTCCTGAGTAGCTGGGATTACAGGCACGCACCACCATGCCCAGCTAATTTTTTGTATTTTTAGTAGGGACGGGGTTTCACCATGTTGACCAGGATGGTCTCGATCTCTTGACCTGGTGATCCACCCGCCTCGGCCTCCCAAAGTGCTGGGATTACAGGCTTGAGCACCGCGCCCGGCCTTCTAATAATACTTTTGCGTGTGGAAGAGCAGTATAAGTTAACTGGTTCATGTAGACCATGTTTGAGGCATTAGCTGCTTGTGTTTCTTACAGTTCTAGGTTGGTAATATAAAATAAATAGATGCAAGAGTGCTAGCATTTAGAATACTGTATTTTACATGAGTGTAGAGCAAAATCTTACTTAAGAAACATATCATTTAATGGGCTGTGCTTTTGTCAATTTATGGTGTCAACTTGTGGTTTCAACTGAAAAGGAAAAGGGCCTGTCGTAACAATAAACTTGTAACATAAGATGACTTTGGTTTGCATTCCTCACGTTAGGAAGGATAATACAGTTTTAGTTTATTCATTTGGTTTTTTTTTTAAATGGAGTCTCGAAGTGTCGCCCAGGCTAGAGTGCAGTGGTGCAATCTTGGTTCACTGCAACTTCCACCTCCCAGATTCAAGCAGTTCTCCTGCTTCAGCCTCCTGAGTGGCTAAGTTTTTGTATTTTAGTAGAGGCCGGGTTTCATCCTGTTGCCCAGGCTGGTCGTGAACTCCTGAGCTCAGGTAATCTGTGGGGGCCTCCTTGAGTGGAGGCCCCGGCCTATTCATTGGTTTTTTTTTTTTTTTTTTGGGACGGAGTTTCGCTCTTGTTACCCAGGCTGGAGTGCAATGGCGCGATCTCGGCTCACCGCAACCTCCGCGTCCTGGGTTCAGGCAATTCTCCTGCCCCAGCCTCCTGAGTCTCTGGGATTACAGGCACGCGCCACCATGCCCAGCTAATTTTTTTTTGTATTTTTAGTAGAGACGAGGTTTCACCATGTTGACCAGGATGGTCTCGATCTCTTGACCTGGTGATCCACCCGCCTCAGCCTCCCACAGTGCTGGGATTACAGGCTTGAGCCACCACGCCCGGCTCTATTCATTGGTTTTAATGGGAGCATTATATTATTGTAGTGTTGTTAAAGGATGGTTAATGATGGTTGTTCGCAGGTAAAATGGAAAGGGGTAAAAAGCAGGTTTTTTTTTTTTTTTTTTTTTTTTGAGACGGAATTTCGCTCTTGTTACCCAGGCTGGAGTGCAATGGTGTGATCTCGGCTCACTGCAACCTCTGCCCCCTGGATTCAAGCAATTCTCCTGCCTCAGCCTCCCGAATAGCTGGGACTACAGGCGTGCACCACCATGCCCAGCTAATTTTTGTATTTTTAGTAGAGACAGGGTTTCACCATGTTGACCAGGATGGTCTCTATCTCTTGACCTCGTGATCCACCCGCCTCAGCCACCCAAAGTGCTGGGATCATAGGCGTGAGCCAGCGCGCCCGGCCAAAAAGCAAGTCTTAATTATATTTAGTGCTTAATGATTTTATACATTGCTATGTCAAAATCTTCAGGAGGATTTCCAGTAGTGGTTGGTCTTTGGTAAGATTCCATTAATCATGGTCCTTTTTTGCAATTCTAACTCTACAGGAAGTTGTTAACAATCTAATAAGAGCATTTCTAGAAGGAATGTTTTCTCTGTGTTTTTTATGGGTATGTCTTATTTCCCTCCAAAAATAATTCCTTGCCTACCAGTTTATACATGAAAATATTTCTGGTTCACATCTTTTGAACTTTAATTTCTGTTAAAGTCTGTTCTGTGTTCACTGTGCTTTTTCCCTGGATGAATTGATGTATTTAGCCATCACCTGTCATATCAATGATGTGAAAATCTGTATTTCTATATTTCTTGAGACCTGTGGGTTGTTTTGTTTTGTATTTTTGAGACAGGATCTCACTCTATTGCTCAGGCAGGCATCATTTGATGCAGTGGTGCAGTCATGGCTCACTGCAGCCTTGACCTCCTGGGCTCACACCGTCCTCCCACCTTGCCTCCCTAGTAGCTGGTACTACAGGCACATGCTACTATGCTCTGCCAGTTTTTTTGTATTTTTTCTATAGATGGGGTTTTGCCATGTTTCCCAGGCTGGTTTTTAACTCCTGGACTCAAGTGATCCTCCCACCTCTGCCTCCCAAAATTCTGGGATTACAGGCATGACCCACTGCCCCCAGCAGAGACCTGTGTTATGAGGATTATTCAGCCCAAATCCAAGTTGATTATTTCTGTACCTCCAAACTTTTTTTTCTTTGCTCTGTCTCCTAGACTGGAGTGCAGTGCCATAGTCATGGCTCACTGCAGCCTCAACCTCCTAGGGTGAAGTGATCCTCCCACCTCAGCTCCCCAAGTAGCGGAGACTACAAGCATACACCATAACACACGGCTAATTTGTAAGATTTTTTTGTAGAGATGGTGTCTCACTATGTTGCCCAAGCTAGTCTGGAACTTCTGGCCTTAAGAGATCTTCCGACGTTGACCTCTCAAAGTGCTGGGATTATAGGGGTGAGCCACTGCTTGGCCTCTACCACCAAACTTTTTACTCTTCCCGTAGTCTACCCATAGTCACCCAAGGAGTGGTTTTCAGCCTCATTTTTTCTCTTATAGAGAACTTCCGTGATCTTTGATGAAACCTTGTCTCCTCTCTCTTTAAAATATCTCTCAAATCTATCTTTACTGATAACTGTTGTGATCTCATTTATGAGTAATTTAAATAATCATTTTCATTTCGGACATTAAACATTAACTCTTTGAGAACTCAACTGAGTTGTTGGGGATATTGAAAACACAGTCCTCCTTTTGTTTTCTCCCCCCTGCTATCAAACATTAAATTTATTCCTTTTATCTTAGTGTATGTTTATACCCTTTAACCCACTTCATTCTCCCACTCTCTCTGCCACAGCCCTTTTTTTTTTTAATTTTTTTTTGAGACAGGGCCTCACTCTGTCACCCAGGCTGGAGTGCAGTGGGATAATCACACTGCAGCCTTGACCTCCTGGGCTGAAGCAATCTTCTTACCTCAGCCTCCCAAGTAGCTGGGGCTACAGGCATGCGTCACTATGCCCAGCTAATTTTTAAATTTTTTGTAGAGACAGGGTCTCACTGTGTTGCTCTGGCTGGTCTTGAACTTTTGGGTTCAAGCGATCCTCCCACTTTGATTTCCCAAAGTGCTGGGATTACAGGCATGAGCCACTGCACCTGGTCAATTCTTACTGATTTCAGTATGTACACATAAGTGATCCTTCTGACACAACTCACTAAGTTCTGTGAGCAACTCTCCTGTGATGGTTTTGTCCACCACCTGACATCAGTCACCTACTTCCGTGGTTGTACCCTAACCAGTGCTTCTTGAACTATCCATTGTGAAGGACTAGTAAATTTTTATTTCCAGTCCACTGTGGATTGTATAAAATACTATAAAAATCAATTACTAGGAAGTTGAAATACTGATTTTGATTGTTGTAACAGTACAAAGTTGCTATACATTTCTCAGTAATTACTCTTAGTTTCTATACTTCTTTCATTGCAGGTGGACATTGATTTACAGACACTTTTAGTAGCATTGTTTTAGATCCTGTTACCAATAACTGCAACACTCCCATAATTTGTTTCATTTACAGCACTCTTGGATTCTATGTTTCTAGCTCATGCTCTACAGTACCCTGATTTCAATGTTCTTTGGCCCTGTTGGGACGTTCATTCCATTGGCCTACCCCAGTTTTTGTGCTCTGTACTTGCCTGATGTGATCATTGGAATGATTTTCTTGCATATTTGCTATCTTCTTTCTTACTTCATTCTACTTGTTGGGCAAAACTGAAATTCTGGTTAAATCCAACGTTTACTTTCTCCGCACTTGGATTTATACAGCTGAATTTGAAAGGAGAAAAACATATCCATATGTATCAGTCTGGAAGTTCATGGCTACAACCCTTAGCATGGACCCTTACTATTGCCTGGAAATTGTATTATATGATATTGTACTTCCCTGGTTCCTTCACTTTCTTAGTACTGTTTCACACTTACTCTTCTGATCAACTTAGGTACTACCTCATTCATCTTCACCTTAACTGATGACCTTGCTTTATACCTTAAGAAATTTGCAATCCAGAGAAAACATACACAGATTCTCATTATGTTTCATTAGTCCATGCAAAATTGGAATGATACCTTTTTTCTTGATAATACTTTTTGTGTTGAGGTCTGTTTTCCTTATTACAGATGAGATGAATCAGCTGGGGTGGTAGGTGGTTATCATTTCCTGTTCTTAAATCTTTTTTTTTTTTTTTTTTGACACAGAATCTCACTCTGTCACCAGGCTGGAGTGCAGTGGTGTGATCTCAGCTCACTGCAACCTTCACCTCCTGGGTTTAAGCAATTCTCCTGCCTCAGCCTTCCGAGTAGCTGGGACTACAGACGCATACTACCACGCCCAGGTAATTGTTATATTTTTAGTAGAGATGGCGTTTCACTACGTTGGCCAGGATGGTCTTGATCTCTTGACCTTGTGATCTGCCCGCCTCGGCCTTCCAAAGTGCTGGGATTACAGGTGTGAGCTACCTTGCCCTGCTCGGTTCTTAAATCTTTTATGTGTCATATGTATGTGGAATGGACATCAGACAATTATAGTATACAGTTACTTAACTACAGTTGCTCAAAGTGCTGTGAAAGAAGATAATGTAGGTAATATGCATTTCATAGGGGTAGTGTTAGTATGCAATTTTATCAAAGGCTAAAGATATTAGCCTGTATTATTACCAAAGGCTTGTTCTAATTTCTGAGAGGTAGCCAGCAAAAGGATAGGCCAAAATTAAAATGACTTTAAAAGGCCAGAGATCAGGAAAAAACTCTTTTTATGTGACATTCTTGATAGTTGGAGGGAGCTAGGGTGTGAGTGGCCCAAGATGAAAACTAGAAAGGTGGGCAGGGGTTTTGAGCAGGGGAGAGCAATCACATTTTCTCTCTTAAGTTTGTGTTAATGGTCCCAAAGTTTGGAAATTAATCATTGTGAATTGTTCTGACTATATGAATTATTGTACAGCAGTTTTAATCTCTTGTCAGATTCTCTGTAGCAGATGTTATAACACTTTTCTTTTTTTTTTTTTTTTTTTTTTTTTTTTTTTTACAAATCCCCAAGGCTGCCTTCCTTTTCACTTTGTATTTAGCTTTGCTTACCAAGAAGGCAGTCTCATATGAAGTTCGTCAACTTTTCTCTTCCAGATAGCCTCATTCAGTTTTACA